ACATGAACATGGAGTAATTTAGTAATAAAAATGAAGCTTTGGTTTAATGGTAATGAAGTGCAGTTATTTCACTGAGGGAATTAAAATGTTCAGTTTTAAAGGTCAAGAAAAAATAATTAATTAACAGTTTTTGTATTAGCTAGCTGTTATTATCTTTAGGCTTAACTGAGTGACTATTATTGACTGAGGAATGCATTAGGTGGTATACATTATACTACATGAATATCCTGTATGCAATTGTTGCAAATGTTGACAAAGAGTTCACAAAAATACTGACAAGCCTTGCTTTTAAACCTACTTGTGAATAAAAAATGTGCACATTGATAAATAATAATATTATACATATTACTGCCCTTGTATTTCTACTCTTGCCAGGTAACACAGCATTTTTTATTAAGGGCTCTTTCTATTTTAAAGAAAACTGGAAATACTGCAAATTTCAGATATCATTGAGCTTAGGTGTTTCAACATCTACTTACACAGGTCCCAGGAAATTGTAATAGAAAATCTTTAAAATGACAGTGCCTTGCAACATCACACATAACATGATTTGAGAATGCTCCTACCAGACTGTCTATACTCCGGTGGACCTCACAATTCTGTAACATGATGTCTAAAGAAACTGTAGTACAAATTGGAAGGTAAAAAAGATGGAGGGGGAGGATTCTCTGATCTATGTTTGTATCTTTGAACTATTAACTATAACAATATGAGAAATTACAAAACATTACACCAGTATACAGGTAAATTTCTGTTTGAAAACTCTTTGTATTTGTTTAGTCCCAACCCCATAAGATTACACAATACTAATTTTGTTTTTAACCATTACATCACTGTTCTCCAGAATTAGGCAATTATTATTTGGACCAATAAGCTCAAATATACCTCATTCTATGAAGTAGAAAGCATTATTTCTTGCCTGCTAAAACAATAACTTGTTTGTGTTTTTTATTAATATTTTGATTTCTGGTTTCGGATTATATAACTGTGTAAAGTTACGGATTTACTTCAGGCTCAAAAATTCACTTCAGATTCATGGATTTAATTCATGAATTCACATCACCAACATTGTCTGAGTATCATTCTTGCTAGAACTACCCAAAGTTGTTTTGTTATATCTGTGGTAATTTCCAATCAGTAAAGCAAAGGCAGAATATCTCAGTATTTGCAAGAAAAATCATATCTTGCGTATTTCAGTGTGAAGCTTGGTGATCAGGATAAGTATATGCCGATCATATTTGAAGGATTTGAGGCAATGGGTTCAAGGCAAAGGGTATACCTATGGTTTGGTGTGAGCCCAAAGATCACACTCAATACACAATATTTGTGACACCTGGAAAAGTGTTACTACCACAATTATACATTAAACTGCGGCTAATGAAGCAATCTGTAAGGGCCTTGGACAGTGATAGCAAGTGTTTCAAATACATTTTTGACCAATTCTTTTCTCTAAGTGAAGAGAAAATAAAAGCTGGGGTGTCCGATGGCCATCAAATATGGAAACTAATTAAAGATGACAATTTTTCTTGATTCAATGTCAAATGTGGAGAAAGCAGCTTGGATATCTTTAAAAAAAAATATGGTTGAAAATTCTCTGGAAAACCATAAAGCCAAAGACTATAGAACAACTGTTAGCCACATGTTGAAATGCCAAAATAAACTTGGTTGCAATACGAGTGTAAACGTGCATTTACTTTATGGCCACTTGGAGTACTTCCCTGAGAACCTTGTAGCGGTTAGTGAAAAGCAAGGTGAAAGGTTCCATCAAGACATAAAAAACAAGGAAAAATGATAAAGGAAGATGGAATGTCAATGTGATGATTGACCATCATTGGTCTTTGAAGAGAGGTGTTTTCAAACCAAACTTCAAAAAGACATCTAAGAAAAGGAAATTCACCCAAATTTGATTATGCATATAGCCAAAGAAAAGTAATCTAAAATGAGTCTTTTTGTGAATTTTATTGTATTACTTTTCTTTGATGAAGTTGAAAGCTTTTAATTTGTTTCTAAATGTTTCATCTATTATGTTTATATCATGCACATAAAATCAGGAAGTTTATTATTGATTTTGTGAGAACACCTGATGTGACAGCAAAAAACTGATATCAGATTAGGAATCAGCACCTCCAATTACTCCACCTATTTTCAAAGAAACAACAGAAATTTCTTTTTTTCATTTATATACTGGTATTATTCATGTATTATTTAAAATAAAAAAAAGATAGGTGTATGTTAAGTGCCAGGGTTTGCTTAAATATCATCTTGCAGAGTTTAAGTATAATTGGTAACATAGTTCTCAAATTATTGATATTTTATGAGAACATACAAAATGGAGAAAGTTTATCCATTTGTTTATGATAGTGCATACCAATCACATTTTTTTATTTTAATTCAAATTACAAGAATGTTTTCACAGCAAACAACACTATGAATTTGAACACTTGTAATTACTGTATTTCATCAGTAATTCAGAGGGAATAAATTTTGGAAACAAAATTGAATTAGAAAAATATTGAAATATAAAATGTTTCATTGATGGTAACTAATGGCACATGTAAGGATTTCTGAAAATACAGTGCTACTTGCCATCCCTAAATCTTTACAAAAACAGTTGAACTTATGTCAGTGAACAATAGTCCAGTCAAAATAGTGGTTTGACCCAGGACAAATTGCAACAGAAATCAAACCAGCTGCATTTAAGCTGGAAGGCTGTATGATTCATATATAAAAGGTCCCATAGTGGGAATATTGATTAATTAGCCATACTTAATAAATTATTGGTAATAGTTATATTAATAATGCAGATTGCAAAAGATACATGAACCTTAACATATTGTGTGATACATCACTGTAAAGCTCATTTTATTAACATTCCAATGCAGAGTATATTTTGTTCATAGTTTTCAAATTGCCACAGTTAGGTCAATTTTGTATTTAACTTTTACCATAAAATGCTATAAAATGTTTCTAATGATGATTGCTTTCTTGTGTTTCACTCTTGCTTCAGATGTTGTTTATTGTTGATTTCATGATGTGCTCTGTGTACTAATGGCCTTATTATTTCCTTTCAAGAAATCGAAAAGTAACAAGTCAACCAAGTTATAATGGACAAGGATGTATTCTTTAATGAATAATTGGGAAACGAAAATCCCACTGCATCTTCAAGTGATAAAGCTTGTACTAGCATACATAAGGTCAGTGAAATGTTATTATGAAAAAGATGACCTCATAATGTTAACTGTAGTAGAAGTGCCAGGGTGTAAGAAACTTGTTGTAGAAGACACAGATCAGTACTTCTTGTGTTTCATGTTGACCTTAGTGTTCATAGAAGCTTCTTAAGGGCTGAAACAAAACAAAGATCAATGAGAAAAGCAAAAGCCTGAAACGTTGAAGCTATAAAGGAAATGCTTGGACAAAAAATATGTACCTTCATAATTTTTGAAATAGGAAAAGGTGTAGGATGTAAAATTTCAAGATCACATTGTTATCTTTACTGTGCTACATGTCAGTGCTGCAGGAGAACAGGCCCTTGTTTACATCTTCAGTATAAAATATGGAGAAGGACAAGTTTTGTGAGAAAGTTGCAGAGTAGCACATAGTTTAAGAGCATACTATCAAGTCAAGCAGTGGATGGGTGCTACAGATATAAATCCAGCAGAATGGGGTTGGAAAATTGAAGAGAGTGAGATATCTCCAGTACCAAAGAAACTTCTGCAGATAATATGATGAAACTGCCAAACAGATTTTAGTACCTTGAGATCTAGTTCTAAAGAATGCAATGTAGAATGTTAAACAGCCTGTTGACACTGTAGAGGCACAATACATTTCAACTTCCCACATTCAACACTGGAAGAAGACAATGGCAATTTTAACTAAACATATCTACCTGATATATCACTGTATTTTACTCCATATATCATTTACAATAGACAAATTGAGAACAGATAAATGGCAAATGAAAATTTTGGAAGATCCTAGATATTATGAAACTATTGAACTGCTTTAACCTGAAACTAGTATTGAAACAGTGTATGTGTTCAGTGTAAAGACTGATGCATGAAATGAAAGATATTTAAGCAATTTCAACTGGTGTTTTAATATTTGTTCACATCTTAAGACATATCAAACAAAAATGTAAAATTAGCATTCAAATGGTGTATTATACAACCATGCAACTATCATAGTTGTCAAGTTATTAGTGGACACATGAAAAATGAGTTTAAGATATATAATTTATTAATGTCATTTCTAATTAATTTCCCATCAAGATTTTGGGAGACTTCTTATACCTACAGACCTTCCCAAGCATCAAACAATCAAAACCAGTTCTGTTGTAGTTTGTTCTGGGCCAAGCTTCTATTTGGAGTAAATTTACTGAATTATAATTGAATACATCATGTTTACCTAATAATCTATAATTTAATTAATATATCATGTTTATTACTAATTTATGATTGAATGCATAGGATAAATTATTAACATCTTAAGAAAATTTACTATTTATACAGCCACAAACAAGATGCTAGAGACAGGGAAGAATAAAGACAGAAGATAAAGATGAGCAGGTACAGCTTCACAAAATTGGATTTTTTTGTTAATGTTTTAAAACTATAGGCTTTCAGTCCATGATAGGCTCTTGAAAGTGATGTATTAATTACTAAGTGGATTGTATAGTGCTCGTGTTGTCGAGTACTGGGGTGTGTTAGTGTCTATTACTGTGTCCAAATCCAAGGATCATACCAGAATATAAACCAGAGGAGCACTCAGTAAAGCACATAGTTCTGCCATGCAGTATTAATCATATTTGGCTCTCAAAACATTTAAAAATGTGTCTATATGTCTGTCATTATCAATGGACACAGACCATTTTTGGCAGGACAATGAGTAATAATATTATACATATGTCCACCAAGTTTCATTAAAGCAAAAATAGTGTGAAAAATTGGTCCCCATGTTAACAGATAGGGATTTTTTAGATTTTCGTGACCTTGACATTCCAAAAAGTAAACACTTCTAAGTTGGGTCATAGTCCAAATGTATACCAACTTTTGTTCAAATCCATTCAGGGGTTTTCGAGAAATCTTGCTGACAAAAACACATACACAGGGATGAAAATATAACCTCTGTGCACCTTCAGTGGTAGAGGTAATAATATGAGTACTTTTTGGAAATGTTTTACTTAGTAGTAGTTTTTATTTAATGTAACAAGCAATGTAATGTTAGAACAAAATGAAAAACTTGACACTTTAGTGGGGTAATAATGCAATGCAATATCACTGTCAGTAACAAACACATTTTAATACAGGAAGTATCCTGTATGTATAATTATAATTTATCACTTACTTAAGTTTAAGTATAATCTGGTGATCTCATGAATGGACAAAGTTTACATAAGCCTGGAAATGTTTTTTGTAACATGATCAATTGATAAATATATGGTTACATTAATTCAAAGATTTCAAATGACAACTATCATGGAGACTGTTTTATGAATGCAATAAAATTTGTAAGATCAAAATTATGTATTTAATGGGAACAGCCTATTTCTAACTAGGAATTTGTTAGGGGCTCTTAGGCTGTTGTAAAATGACCCTTTGTGACCTAGTTTTAGTAAGATGAGACAAAGCTTTATCCAGAGTCCTTAGACTCTATTTAGGTAAGAACCTAAACTTTACACAATCTATTATGGCTGCCTTCATACACTATGATAATTGATGTTAAAGAAAAGGATCAATGTAGAAAAAACATTATTTATGCATAAAATGTACATAAAGACATATTAAATGCACCAGAATTAACCTGTATGGAATTTTTTTGCACTAATGATAATTTATTTTTTTCCATCTATGTCCTAGAAGCATCACTGAATCACACAAGATTCACTGACTTTAGCCAGTTTTTGTCTATAAAATAAAATTCCCTGAACTTCTCTAGGATGGGAATGCAAAATATAAAATTCACTGACTTCTACCAGTTTCCATAACACATGGGAACCATGTGAATGTACACACAACTACATATTAATTTTTTTCATATTTTAAATTAAAAATTAAATATTCACAACTAGGTTTAACAAATATACTTAGTTACACTGTTAATACTATTACAATGACAACTACTTCATAACATGCAGCTTTTTCAATACCACCACTTAAGCATGAAGATGGCTGCAGTAAAGCAGTCAAAACTTCCCAATGCAAAAAACGAAACAACTGTTAACATAAAGTAATCCTGTAGTTACGTATTTTACTGCAATAGCAATTTATGTTTGAAAACTTCTTTTTATATCCACATAAGGAAATAGTTCTCTCCATTCTTGAATATTTTGGTGGTCCAGTTGATTGCAAAATGACACATCAAACATTTTCAGCTTTTTACAGTTAATTAAAACTCTGAAAAACAAACAAACAATGTCTGGTTATCTTTCTCTCTCTCTTTATATATAAAAAATAAATAAATAGTTCTAAAGCTATCAAATACATTAATTGTATATAGGTGATTTTTTAATCAGCACTGTAAAACAATAATGATGAAATTAATATAAATCAAAAACATTATAAAGAGACTCAAAAATCAAATTAATTTTTCTATTACCAGTCCTTGTTGTCATTATTATGATATAAAACTGTTTAGTGTAGATAGTATTAGTTAAAAAAATTCATGTTCCCTTGAGACTAAATCAGTTGGTTTACTGTTTGATGTCTCATACTGACAAGAAATATACAGCATAATTTTAGCTTCATCACCACAGTAAGCCTAACACTATTGTACATTTGTGATTAGAACACTATCTTAATAAAGTTATGTTTAATTTAGGTATTATTACACAATTAATTTTTTATAATATTTGAAACATTTTTTATTTCTCAATTGGATTCTGAATTTTCTTATAAAGGTCTATGAGTTAAATGACATACCAAAAATTATTGTGAAAGATTGATATTTGTTCTTGAGTGATTATGTTTAAAATGGCTAAAAGACTTGTCACAGCTATAAAATATATTAAGTTCATTCTTCCATAACTATTATAGAATATATCTTTAGTAAGGTACTTTTTTCTAACTTTTCATGCAAGTCTTCTGCATGAGGTAATGACATTCTTGTTAACTAGATACCGAAAGGTAGTAAACATGTCTTAATCCCTTTAATTAAGTACAGCTTGCATGTTGTAACAGCTAAAAACTTGTATCACTTTGACCCTGTGTACGTGTCCACTCCCTGGAGTAGAATGAGCCCATTTCAAGGGGTGACACAGGTACTTGTACAAATTAGTACATGTTAGGGTTTTTCCTCCCATATTTGTTTGAATAGTTGTTGACATGTGCAGCTTCAAATTATGGGATACTACTTTGAATTATTTCTCTAATTGGAAAGCACTTTATATCATAATTCCTTTTGTCTTTGTCATGTGCAGGTGTGTGTAGAAAGCCTATCATCCCAGCAGCCAGAAAGAAACACAGGAAAGTTGTAAGCTGGCCAGTCAGTAAACTACATAATACTTTATTGTGAATAAAAACTGTAATTGTTTTTCATTTGCTGTCATGTTCTATTTATTTTATACAATACATTTCCTAAATCTGGGATTTGCAGATACTATAAATTTATCTTTTGGATATCAGTATACCTGAAAACCACAGAATTGATAAAAAGTAACATTTTGGTGCCCTGATCAAAGGATTTGTGATTGTGGAATTTATTTTGAACATGCTACTTTTCCCATTGACCTTCTGAGATCATGTAGAACTTATGGCAGAGAAGATGAACTCCAGTTGAAGTTAGGATTCTATATGAGAATCCCATCAGGACTAAGAGATGCACCTTCCTAAAATATGAGATTTTGCCATCAATGGTGGTGAGAGCTTTGTCTTAATTCTTGCTTTGTCCTCAGGACAGAGAAGGTAGGGGACATTCAGACTGCTGTTAAATAACCTCTAATGATTACTTTTCATAGTTTGAAGCATAGGATAGCAGAGAAGTGTCATAATGGCATCGAGCAGCCTGAACATGCTAAGGCTTACTAGGGTGGTCTTTATGGGACACCAGGTTGCTTGTTAAGAAATCCAGAATGCTTTGAGACCACATCAGCAGTTGAAGTCAATGTGTACTATAATGATGGTGCATCATGTTATTACAATTATGTGCAATGACATGCATCGTTTCATTCTGCACAAGACTTCACCTGAGGACACACATTCGTAAAGATGTAGGTATTCCTGACCCTTGGAAGAAGCAAGGACCTACCTCAAATGTGCACAGCAGTAGAGAAGCTAACAGCAGGTACTTGAACCATAATTTAATTATGGTGGTGATGAAAAACTGGCAAACCACCAGAGTTTAAGAAGATAACATAATTAGTTAATCACACAAAATGTAATCTTGACAAATGTTTATATCTGAATAAGTCATTTTTGCTTATTTCTATCTGTGATTACTTTTACTTTTGTGCCTATTTGTAACATTTACTGCTATGTTACTTGTATTCTGTTTTCTTTATTTAATTCTGTTCTAATACCTCAATGCATCTATTGAAAACAATGTCTCACAATTATGTATGAATTGGTACCATCTTTAGTGTATATCACTGATGATTGGATATATACGTGTGTCTCAAAATATCTGAACGTTAAATATGTTATCAACTGTAGTCTTAGTTTTCCATTGAAAATTCATAATTCTGCCAAAAAATTAAGTATCCAGAATTGGATGATGTGGGTAATGTTCCTTCAAGATCTCCAAGTTCATGCATTTCAAGAAATTCTCATCAGAAAAAGGGTATTTGGAAATGACTGTATGACAAATTTGACATGTAAACGAAAAACCAGTTCCTACTCATCTAACATTCAGTTCATCACAAATATGTCAATAACAAATATCACATATCATGACTGCACTGGTTTTGTAATAATAATACTTTATTATTCAATTACAATTGATAAATGTTCACAGATTCTGAATATATAAAATGTAGTGATGGTTTTGTTATCTTATTTAAAAATATTTTTAAAAGTTCACTGGTTAATAAAACATAAAACATGTAAATATGAATGAATATATGAAAAACAAGTATACTAATGAGACAAATTATTTCATATTTTAATGGCAGTGTTAACCATCTGATGAGCAGATAAGAACACTATTCTAGATTATACTCATGTTTTGAAAAAATAAATTTTTTAATTTTTGCACATGAATTTTGGACTATCTATGGTCTGAATCAGGGTTAGTCTAACCAGTATTGGCTCCAAAAACAAGAATAATGCTTGTTTAGATCACTGTTTTGTAACACTCATAACAGGGTTAATAGATAGTTAAATAAATGAATAAATGATTTAATTACTTAAGTAAGTTGTTATTGAAAATCAGATCTAGCACCATTATTTCACTATGCTGAAGCTTGAGCTCATAATTAGATTTCATTTCCCTCACTTATTTGTCACTGGTGATTAATTTTGGCTCCCAGTTTAATAATAATTGTAACAAAAAATTAAAGCTTCATCAATAACACTATAAAAAGCTCATTATGCTTAACAATGTTAAAATATATGATTCCTAATTTATTCCTAATTATTTTGTTTTTTACAGATTTTTTGTGTAATATTATTTCTGTGGTCTCTGACAAACTGTCTAAATGTAGTGAACTTCTTTTTGTATATCTTATAAACATTTGAGTTAATATTGCTTTACGCTACTTTTTAGATGTATTAAAAGCTACATCACATCTGATGCTGTAAAACTACTTCCTTTTTTGTCAGGTTTATCATGAGATGTGTCTATAGTGAACTTCTGGATAAACATTTGATAGCAACTAATTAATTTGCACTGGGTAATTAATTGTTAGAGTCATTAATTAATTACATTCAACTAATTGCTTATTCTCGTGAGAATCAGATAGTTGGAATAATCAAAAGTAGTATTAATCAGAAACAGTCATTTTGATTAACTGATAATATTCATAACATTAACTGATTTAATCTTAATTTTGATTAGTTTTTACTTTATTTTACTTAATACTGATCAATGCTCCTAGTAATTGATTGATAAAGTTAATCACCCAGGTCTACAGTTAATCCTAACAACTTAGAAAGATGCTATACAATGATTGGCTGAGGAATCTCCTCATTAGCACAACATTCCCTGGATCTTCATGTAACTTATCTCCAGCAAAATAAATTTTCCTTTTGTAGACCTTAAGGAATTAGTTTTCAGAATATTATTTTTTATTTCTCACAATAAATAACTTTTAACTAAACTTCTGGAGAAAAGGTATATTATAAAAATAATATCTAACATAAGGGTTGTATACAGGGATCCACTCAGACATTCTGCCAAAACAGTTAATGCCAATGCAGTATGACAAATTTAACTTTCAATTATAGGTAGGCTGGTAATTTCACAATTTGTATAAAATATACAAAAGTTATCCAAGAATGTGTCACTTGAATATACTGTTGTTTTTCACAAGTAAAATAAAAGCTTTAGATTTTTAGTAAAACCTTTCCTGTGATCCTGAGTAAATTTGCTTTAAGTGACTTACTGAACATTAAAAATGCATTGAAACTAGTACATTACAGAATAACTTTAAAGGATTTTATCTGAATATCTATAAAATACTTTTCCAAACAAACTCACAATACAAGATAAATAAATTAAAATCCATATCAACTATGTCAAAATAAAGCAGATATGTATATGGTCAATTTTCTGAACATACTATATATATATATATATATTCCCTGTAATAGTCTACATAGACAACAAGTTCGAGATGTATGTAAGTAGTGAAGAACAATTCTATACTTATCACTACAGATATCACTTTTGAAAATTATGACAATATAATTAGTAAACTGTTATGAATAGAATGAAGAAACAAACTTGATTAGTTTGATATCCTATTACTGTTTCTTATAGTTAGACAAAACAAGATCTTACCTAAAAGCAGCATCTGTACTGACTTCTCTTGTTCCTAGAATGTCTAGCTGCTCAAGTTCTGAGCTATGAGAGGCTATAGCATTCAAATCATTGTCAGAAACTGTACTGAAATAAAAGAAAGAAAAATATGTTATTTTTTTTCTGTTAAAACTAAAATAACATTGTGAGAAAGGACATGCAAAACCAAATTAACTTCTGCAGATATTTTTATTCACATAAATCTGATAATCAAAGAATATTTCTTAACTGCAACAATACCTGATTAATAACTAATTAGGATGTTTGCTTGTGATTACAATAAAACTTCAATTATCTCATGGGATAAGCCAACACAGACTCACAGGATTTAAGTTAATAAGTAATTTCTATTTCAAACCAAGTTTATTTTTTTTTGTAACTAGTAAGAATAAAATAATTAACATCTTTTACCTATTCTGTTGTGTTATTAGATATATTCTAAATTACAGTGTGCAATAAAGATCAGTGTCTCTGAGTAAAGAACACTCTTGTACTTGGCTCACTCAGATATGACTGAATAACAGGAGGAAACTTATTTAAAAGAACAAAAAAAAACACTTCCCTAGGAATTCAAGAGTTATTATGTTTGAACTGACCTACATATACATGTAAACAGCAGGCAAACATGAATAAATAACATTAATATCAACAGAAAATACTTTTTAGCAATATCAGAAACTTAGCTATCTTTGGACAAAAATATTTGTTATAAGGTACAGTCGTTCAAGAGGAAAAAACAAAGTACTGAATAAGACAGTCCAATATGAAGACTTAAGATGACATCCATAATGACTGAATGCATTTCAACCTGTTATTGAAAAAAAAAGCAGTAAATTTATAATCGATGTACTTGAGTGATAGAGTTAACACAGACTGCTAAAATATTTACATGAAGATATAACTTGCAAATTTTGTTGGATTAAAAAAAGAAAATCAATATTCATTTTCATTATCCTTAGCTAACCCTGACAAAATATAGCAAATCACCAAGATAAGAGAGAGAGAAAGAATCCTTTTACAGAATTACAATGCCCATGAGCATATTAAAACTAGACTTGTTAGATAATACTTAATTACAATCATTCCAAATGTTTAAACAAAGGCTTCATGAAGAGGAGTCCAAGTTAGAAAAACTGCAAAAAAAAAGGAAGAAAAAGGAAATGGATGAACTACAGTGAACTTTGTAAACACAATAAAGATATCATCTAACAGCTAGTGTTTGTGTGTTCCATTATTTCTTTATTGGTATTTTCATTAACAGTACTGGTCAGAATGTTTAAATTATCTAATTTTTTTTTTACTTTCCAATTTTATTTTTATTATTATAATTTCATTATAAAGTTTTCTTTGCACTGTTAGCTTAATATGTGTATTTAGGACTAACCTTGATGATCACAGAGACTAGTTACTATACCATCACAATACTGTAATACCATTAGTGGTCAATTCACCAACTACAGTCAGCATCATATAAAAATAAATATGGGCTAAATTTAGTGAAACATGAACTTTCCACTATTATGTATCACAACCTAATTCATATTCTATGCTGATTAAGAGCACAATTCCTTCACTGCACATGTGCAAGTCATGTAGTTTCACATTCTTATGTATAAATGCTACTTAAATATTGCACTTACACACACATAAGCAATACCAAATTTCACTTAAGTTCTCAAAAAGCAGGGATTGCAAGGTCCTTTCAGTTTATAGGTGGGTTAGACACCAAATGGATCATTTTCAGTCCTGCTAACTGAAATGTTGTACACATTACATCAAATAACTGTTCAAATGATGTTTTTATTGAGTATTACACAGTCTGCTCCTCAGAAATTCCACCACTACATAGCGCAGAAAATTATCACAAGACATCATACAAACATCTCATCATCAAATACTGCTTGATAACTCAGAAAGTAAGGGTCACAAAACCCTCTCAACTTAGATTTCAAAATCCTAGTAATACTCTCCAGTTGTACAAACTGTTTGGTGTACTAAGCATCACATGTACTATCAACTTTTCTATCTGTATAGTAATCAAGCAGCTATTATCCAATGACTGTCTGTGAAATACTGCTTGATAGTTTGGAATGTAAGGAAAGCTACTTCCTTTCTGTGGTTAATCTACTGATTAATCTGCCATCCTTACTGATCATCTGGCAATTAATCCCAACCATATTGATCGAGAGGTTATCATTTGTGTCTTAGCTAATCATGTCAGCTTTGTCACAGTTTCTCATATGAATTCTCTTGAATAAGAAGTTAAGTACTTCTTGCATATTCCTTCTCATCAACTGAATCAAAATTATATATAACAGTACTCTTGCTATCAACTGACTCCATAGCCTCAACCTCTGTTTCCTGAGCATGTTTGGCAACAAACCAGACAATTTCTGATCTATCACTCAATACATCACCATCATGAATGGTAAGTTCGATTTAAATTTACAAACATTGCAAGCACCTGCTTGATAGACTGTATTACCTTTTCACCCAAACCATCAGACTGGAGGTGATTTTCTAAAATGCATGTTATCAACACACTCAACATTTTGCACAACTCAGAAAATAACTAGCTTTTAAAACTAGGATCTTTATCAATGTGGATTTCTTCTGGTACTCTGAATAATACCATCTGTTGTTCAGACTACACATCAGCTACAGACTGTGATAACATATCGACCAATGGATAAGTTTCTGCTCATTTGGTTAAGTAATAGATAATGACTAGCACATACCAGATATATTCAGGTCTCTAACTACACTCTGTGGAACTTTAACTCTACTTGGCAAGTTCTTTCTCTGGGTAGCACACACTATATAATTATTAACCAGTTATGAGGGTAACAAATCATTCTGTTGCCCAAGGGAGTGAGAATGGCCAACATATATTTCCTGAAGTCAAAGGCTGAGGGAAACAGGTGATGGTCACTCTTATTTCCTTGGACAACAATTATCTGTTGCCTGAAATCACCAGTCAATATTTTTTTTTACTCTAACCATTTCTACTGTTTACAGTTTTACTAAAATCTGATTAATTAGTGCTGTCACATAGTATATTTAGCCCACATTCCTTAGCCTACTGTAAATCTTAAAGTTTAACATTTCATTGAAGATTTTGATCTCATTATAAAACTCATTAATAAATCAGTAAGATTTAGTAACTGTATAATTTTCAAAATATAACAGTCCATCGTCATGTGATCAGACCAATAAACATATAAAGTATGCATCTGTCTAACTTCAACAAAAAATTCATCTAGAATGCAGGTGAGATTTCCAACATTGTTTGTAAATTAGGCTAAATGAATCAGCATGTTTTTCACTGTGCTGCAAAAAATTGCCATCTGCAAAGTTCTGCTGCCTAAATGACTCTGCAATTCTTCACCTGTGAGTAAATGAAATCTTATGCCATAAAATATGTCCACATTCGTTTTATGGATTTGAACAAACTATTTGTAATTAGGCTATGATTAATCAGTGTGTTGCAAAAACTTTTGTATGCAAATTTCTTCTATGACATCATACATACATGGAAACAGCCTTAAGAACCAAGTAATACTGATGTAATTAGTTGCCCAGCTTTCAAGGCAACATTAAAAAGTTTTTCATAAAACATGATGTATTCTTGGCCAACTATGGTTTTTACACTATTGTTCAATGTCTCAATGCAAATTTAGCCAGAAGAGTTGCTTTTTTATGTTAGCATATGTCCATGTAACATCTGGTGACTTCTAGTCCTTGCATTAAGGAAAGTCTGAAGTATATCCTGCCCAAGAGCTGTGAGGACCACACACAAGCTATAGCACTGATTGAGAACCACACCTCAGTGATTTATAACACTCCTGCACTCATAACTGCTCATGAAAATGCTATAGGTTACATGTGCCCACACTTTGTTCCTCAATCTCTTGCAGTTGCACTTCACCTTGTTGCATGGCAAGTAGTACCAAAGCTAGATCTGGGTCCCTTAACCACTCTCCCTGGAACTCTTGAAATATTTCTTGTGACATACATTTTCTAGTGGAATCATTACATACTGTACAGTTTGATGTCCCTATTGATGCAATGGCCTTCATTCCCATATGATTTTCAGGTTTAGAATGTCCAACAAACATTCAAATTATCACTGTTTGGAGAAACAATCCATTGGCATTTTGGTTTTGCAGGTTTTGTTGATGATGCATAACACAGTTGTACTTTTGCATCTTTGTGATCGAACGTGTAATCATCCCTTCTAAACTTCTTTAAGTTTCTAAGCCATTTTATTTATGCAAGGTCCACACAAATGGTGATCTTTCTACCATATACATAGCATTGGTAGTGTGTGGCACAATACTACATCTGCATCCAGTTCTTTCTTTATCATGCAGTATCTGCATTCATGAATCATATCAATATGTTTAGTGCACACAGTTACACATTTTAAATGTCCTGTATCTGGGAGAGTATTCCTAAATCCACTATCACTACTATCACAATCCAGCAGGAATGGACAATCTTGACTTGGGTATGCTAATGCTAGAGCTTCTACTAATGCACATTTCAGTGATTGAAATTCATGGTCACACTTAAGTGTCATCACAAAGAAATCTGCTGCAGAGAAAGGTGGAAAAGACCTAGCTATTCAATGGATTAGCTAGAGTGGAGTGATTAAATTTCTTGTAAATACCAAGTATTATGACATTGATGAAACAGGTTCTCTTCACTATTAGCACAAGTTACAGCGATCAGACTTTTAAATATTACAGTGAAATATAAAATGAAGCATTAGCATTAAGTGTATACAATTAGTCTCCGAGGAAAACTCTTGCCTTTTCTACTCTGTGATATATGGAATGTGAACCAACTTTTTCTAGCTACACTGTACATCTGTGTTGCAATAGAAAGAGCCAATGAACTACTAATTTTACCCCTTCTTTTACTAAAAAAATATATATCTTTATTTAAGTATTTTCAGGCGTAACTTTTCATTCGTTTTCATACAAGTTATGCATGTAGTTAGTTAATGTCTTTGTCAATAGGATGTATAAAGGATGTCAACTTGCAAAATCTACTAGTTTAGACATAGATTACATACCACAATG